TTTTTTGGGGGGGTGGGGGTGGGGGAGGTGGCAGGCCGGGGGTTGGTGCTGAGGAGAAGAGCTGCTTTTCTCTAGCAGTCTTGCCCCCTTGGAACCACCAACACCCCCCTTGAGGCCATCCAAAATAGTGGGGAACACCTCAAGTTCCCCCTAGGATACCCCTCAACCGCTTGGGACACCTAAGCCCCTCTGGGACCAAAGAAACCTCCCCAGCAACCCCCCAAAATTGGGAGGACCTCTCCTTAGCACCCCCAAGACCCTCAGTTCCCCACTTGGAACTCCCTCATCCTCACAGTCCCCTGCAGGGGTCTGGGGAAGGTCCCAGTGATGTCACCCCTTTTCCTGCACCCCCGGTTCCCCCATTGGGACACCCAAACCCCTCCTCCACATCTCTACTGTCCCCTGCAGGAGCTTGGAGGGGTCCCAGCACTGTCACCCCCCCACACCCCCCAGTTTCCCCCTCACTGTTTCCCTGCTGTCCCCACCACCCCCTGCAGGTGGTGGTGGGGGTGCAGGGACAAGGGTGTGGCATTGGTGGGATCCCCCTCAAACTCTCGAGGACACCTGGGAAAGGGAGGGGCATCCCAAGGTCCCCCGCAACCACTGCCCTCAGGTTTGGGGAGCCTGTTGTCACCCATGTCCCTTCCCCTACCCCCCAGGAAGGGAACCACACCGGGCTGACAAGGAAAGTCACCAACGGCCTCCACTGGTACATCAATGGCATTGTCCAGGATGGAGGACACAAGGACACCCCAGGGGGGCCATGGGGACACACCCCACACACCTCTCAGGGTCTCCTTACACACCCCACACACCTCTCAGGGTCTCCTTAAGTCCCCAAATTGTCACCCTGGGCATGGGAGGGGACACAGGGACACCAAGGTGGCTCTTGTGGACATCCCCATCCATGAGCTGTCCCCTACATTGATGCCCCATGACCCTGAGGGACCACAAGGTGGCTCTTAGTGATGCCACTGTCCTCAGGGTGTCCCCCAAATTGACACCCCATGACTTTGAAGGGACACAAGAGACCCCAAGCTGGCTCTTGGAGACATCCCCATCCCTGGGGTGCACCCTACTTTGATGTCCCACAACTGGGAGGGGACCAGGGTGGCCGCAGGGTGTCTGTGTGACGTCTCCATCCCTGGAGTGTCCACAATATTGATGCCTGTCACCTCACAGGGTAATTTGGCAGAAAATAAACCCCCTTGCATCTCAATTTATCCTCAGGCGTCAGAGGGGCTGAGGGCGGCTACGTTTAGATTCTGAGTGGTAACAACTTGTCACTGTTCTTGTCACTTGCTCCATCCAACCTCCACCCTCCCGCCTGACACCCCCTGGAAAGGGTGTTGGGACAAGAGACGATCCCAAACTCCCCCCTGAGGATTCACCTCAAAACAACAGCTTCCCGCTTCAGAATATCCTGTGGCAGATTTAGACACAAGAGAGAAAATATCTTTTTATTTTATACAGCAAGTGCGGGGCCCTGGAGGCACAGCGGTCCAGGCAGTGACCACGAGTCGGCACCTGCAAGGGCATAGTCAGAAAGCTCTGGTGAGTCCCTGGCGGCAGGAAGGGGCAGGGCTGTGCTGCCTCTCTGGGAACACCGTGTGTGAGGAATTGCTGACGCCCCAAGCAGCACTGCTGCTGGCGCTGCCTGCGGGGTGGCTCTGGCGCCTCGTCCCCCGGGCAATGCCCCTCGAGCCCCGAGCGTGCGCAGAGACGTGCAGGGCCCCTGTGCCACCTGCAGGGATCGGCCAGGAGCCCCCGGGCCCCACCAGGGAGTTATTGCCAGAGCCCGTGCAGCACCAGGGCCCCTTGCTGCCCCTTGCCAGTGCCTTGGGCTGATGGAGAGGAGTGTGGAGAGGGGTGAAAGACGGGCAGCAGAGCCCGGCACGCACCTAGGCTGCCCGACCTCTGCCCCTGCCGGCAGCTCTGTGCTGGTCCATCCCCAGAAGAACCTTCCCTCTTCTTCCTCTTCTTTTCCAGGCAGCCATCGCTCTCCTCTCCCCAGGCTGCTCTTCTCTTCCGACTCTTCTTCTCCTGGTCCTGGGCAGAGCCCAAAAATCTTTCCACCCCACAGTTGGATTAGATAGGGAAAGCCACAGCCCACTGGAATCAGTTCTGATTTTAACCAAAGACAGCTCATTTTACCTTCGTTTCGTGGAAAGCTGGGCCAGTTGTTCTGGGTGCCCCAGGGACTCTGCCGTGCTCTTGGGGGTGCTTGGAGGCAAAGCTGACCGTGCCTAAACCAGAAATGTCACAGTTGGCATGTGGCAAGGGGTGACCTGGGGTGGTAAGGGACTCTTGCTAAATTGGTCCCTGAGCTCTCCTGAGGAGATACCTTGGGCTGCTTTGCATCAGCCACAGTTCACACAGTCCCCCTGCTGACCCACAAACAGCCCTGAGGAAGCTCTGACACAGCAGGGCCTGAGCAAACCCCCCTGAAGTTGACAACCACTCCCCTCTGTCTTTTTGTGGGCCTTTGGCTGATCAAACACCTGCCGAGTGCATTTGAGACACCACCGTGCCAATTTCCCTTGCTATGTATCATCCCCAGGGATGGAGGAATAACCCAAACCCACACCAGCTCTTCTGCCAGGCCGAGGCACAGCAGTGACTTGGCCTCATCGGAATCTCCCCTCCTACCCCAGACATGCTGTCACCGTGTTGGGGGAAATGATGTACCTCTCCCCTTTCACTCTGCACCACCCTATCTCCCCCAGCTCCTGTGAGGACACTGAGCAGAGAGGGGGGTGCATGCAGCAAAGCTTCTGCCTGACGTTCAGTGTCCACTTTGCCTGCAGAGACACTTTGCTCTTCCAAACACAGATCTAGAAAGCAAAAGCATGTGCAACATGATGACTTCTTGGAAGCAAACAGAGCTAAAGCAACACCCACCCAAAGCCCTACACTTCTGTGGTTCAGCCCTCCGATGGTCTGTCTGCAGGCTTCAGCTCATCCTGCAGAGGAAAACGTTCATCTTTGGAGAGCAGCGGCCAAAGAGAGGTCACAGGACAAGCGGCGCTGAGAGGACAACACTTGATGCCCAGTCCTGTCAGAAGGAACACAGAGGTTTCTGGTGTCCCAAGCCCCAGCCGGTGCCAACCCTCAGTCCCCCCTCTCACCTCTGAATCTCTCCAGGGGGGCTGGCATCTCCTGGTCTGATGGGCTGGAAAGGCTGCCCGCTTCCTCCTCAAAGAGCTCCCTGCAGTTCCCCACCAGAAACTCCACCAGCACGTTCACCTGCATGCATCAAACCGTCGGTCTCCACCCCGCTGCCTGACAAGGGCCCAAGCAGCCTTTGACACCCCTGCCCCCTTCTCCTGCCCAGAGGCTGTGGCTGTGGGGCTGCTCCTCCAGGCAGTCACCCCGACAGCATTTGCTGGCGGGAGGAGGCCAGCAGAGCCCTCTGCGCAGCCAAGTGCTGGTGGGCCGGGAAGGCTTCCCCGGCAGGTGGGGACGCGCACCTTGTGTGTCACCTCCAGCACGGCCTCCAGCAGGAGCAGGTCCGCATGGGCTAGGCTCAGCAGGTTCGGCCCAACGCAGACAGTCAGGTTGCTACAGCCCATCCTGCTGGTGGCTGCGTGGCGGCCGATGTGCTGGAGGAGGGACAGCAGCCTCTTCAGGAGGAGGAGGTTGGCTGCGGGCAACTTCTCGGCCACCCTGGGGGAACAGGAACATGGTGCTACTAAAGCAGATGCTGCCCACAGCGTCCCCCAGACTCGCCCGAGGCTGGTGGGAGCCAGCGCAGCTTTCCAGGTGCTCTGGGCCAGCGGTCAGGGCTCCTGACCAACAGGCAGGCTGCTATCTTCTCCTCCCTGCTGGCCTTCTGCATCACCGCCATCTAGTCCTCGTAGAGCTCGATCATGAGGAGAGTGTAGGGGATGCTCTGGAGAAATTCCTGCAAGGCCCAGGCCTCCAGGTGAGCCTTTGAACACTTGGGGCCAGCCGGGAGCTCCTCCAGCCACAGGGCAGAAGCACTCACCTTCAGGATGGCGGCCAGCAGCAGCGCAGGCTGGCTTCCCATGTCAACATCTGCACCGTGGTCCAGGGCCTCCCACAGCTCTCGAAGCGCTGTCCTGCTGGCAGCTCTGAGGAATATTCCCTCCGTCGATGGCCCTTCATGCTGCAGCACGGCCAGCAGCTCCTGCAGGAGAGGCAGGAGGACAGTTGTGTGGCCAAAGAGCCACCTTCCAGCAGCGGTGGCCAGAGCACTGGCCCAGAGGTGGCTCCATGCTGGGGGTGAAGAGCCCAGTGCCCCATCCCCAGAGCGCCTGGGGACACCCGCTGGCCCTCTGGAGCCTGCAGAGGGAGGGCTGGGGACCCTCTGGCCAGGCTGTCTGACCTGGATGGGCTGGGGCAGCGTGCCATCCTCCCCACAGAGGGCTGCCAGAGGCTGCCCAAAGAGCGCCCTGCTGCAGCCAGAGCCCACCTGCCCTGGCGCCAGGGCAGTGGCCAGGCTCCGCCACAGAGCAAAGGGCCAGGGCAGCCCCCTCCTCCTCCTGCTGCTGCTGCTGGTTCCTCCTGCTGCAAAGGAAAAGAGAGCAAGAGTTTGTCAGTGGGTGCCGCCGGGCCAGCGCTTCCAGAGCCTACCCTACCCTGACGTGACCTGCCTTCAGCACAGTGCTGAGCGGTGTGGCAGGGTGGGCAGGGACTGGCAACTGGAACCGTGGCTTCAGCTCAACAGCTCCAGCTTGGGGGCTCCTGAGAGCCGGCATGTTCCCAGGACAGTCTGGCCCAGCCCTGGCTTTGTCCTCCTCCAGGCTGTGGGCAGCAGCAGAGGCCCTGTGTCCCCGCAGAACCACATCCAGCGGCCACTGCCCGGCACTGTCCTTTCTCCTCCAGCTGACATCTTTCCTCAGGCTGCCCAACCTGCATGGGGACACTCAAGGGACAAGTGAGCACAGCCCAGCCACTTGCAGGAGGGGCCTTTCTTTCCCAAACTCACCTGGTGAGCGGCAAAGTCCTCCCTCACTGCTCGACGGGGCTGTCGGAGGCCCTTCCTTGACATCAGCCTGAAAGAACCTGGCACCAGGAGCCTGAGTGGCAGAGCGGGGACCCTCTGCCCTCCCAGGCCCTCTGCCCCATGCGACAGGTTTCCTCCCAGTGCCACCGGCCAGGATAGTCGGCATTTCTGCTGGCTCCTCAAGCTTCCCCACTCCCCAAATTGCACCAAGGGACCCTCCCTCCCTCCCAAGCTCACACAACTAGCACGCCCAGCCCTGCGCCCTGGCACAGCCTGAGGGCAAAGGCAGCCACTCTCACCTCTGACTGGATCTCCACCAGCTTCTCCAGGCTCCTGGTGCTGAGCAGCCTGCACTGGGCAAGAGAGAAGCAGAGGCAGAAGGTGAGCAGCCATGCCTGTGCTGCTGGGCTGGAGGAGCAGTGCTGGGGACAGTGTCCGTGCCAGAGAGACACTCACAGCATGGCGGCAGCTCTGCTCCTTCTCCAGGAGCTTGAGTGACAGGACGAGGGTCACTCGGGGCTTCTTGCTTCCATTGGGTGTCCTGTGCACCGGGAAGAGACAGAGAGAGATCTGGGTGAGCCCCAAGGCATCTCTTCTCTCTTGTCAGGCAGCTCTCCCTGAGAACCGCCCGCAGCCACAGGGACACCTCTCCCCAGCTGGGAAGCTGTGTTCCCCATCTGGCTGTGCCTGCAGCACCCCCCAGCTTACCCCAGCAATTTGTGCAACCAAAGCTCCTTCAGCACCCGGGAGCTGCAGCAAGAGGAGAAACAGCGTCAGGCCCCGCTGTCCCCTAGCCCGTGGGCAGAGGCGGGCTCCTGCACAGCCCTGCCCCGTGGGGAAGGACACAGGGGCAGAACGAAGCCCCATGGGGTGGGACAGAGCCGCTGCCCAAGCCCTGGCTCCCTCTGTGCTGCCACAGCAGCTGCTTTGGCCCTTCCCTTCTGGGGACCAAATGGTGACCAGGGGATGCAGGATGTGGAAATGCCCCCCATCCCTCCCTGCCGGCATGCTGCCCACTCCCTGCCCAGGCTCTGCATGGAGGGCAGAGGCCCTTCACAGGAACCTCTCCTGCCCGGCTGGGGGACGAGGCACCACGACTCACCCGAAAGCGGCAGTGCAGGAGCCCCTGGGCCAGAGGAAGAGGAGGGAGCTCCTCTCGAGGCTGCCGACACCATCCGCCGCTTCCTCCCATGCCGTCTCCTTCCCGTCGCTCAGCACCCACAGCTGGTCCAGGGCCAGGCGGAGCTGTGGGCGCAGGGTGGTGCCACCTCTGCAGAGAGTGGAGGCAGGCAGTGAGCTGGAGGTGGCCTCCTTGGGGTGCCCCCCCGGGCAGAGCCCTGCTCCCCCCCTGCCCTTGGGACGGGCATTGGTGCATCCAGCACCCAGGTCCCGGGGCCTGGGGCCAGGGTGTGCCAGACCTTGTGCCGGGGCCAGGCATGGGGCAACAGCAGCTGGGCTTGGAGCGTCTCACCACAGCTTGGTGACCACCAGTTCATCCTGGAGGAGGAGAAGGTGCCTCTCGCTCCTCTTGCAGCCCCAGGTCAGCTGCACGTCTGCGCTCAGCACTGGCTCTGCGTCGGCGAGAGCGTCCCTGCGGAGCAGAGTGTGGCAGGCATCAGAAAGGCCGCTGCTGTGGGGCGCGGCCGTGCCCCCATGTCCCCAGGCCACAGGGGGAGCCCACCTGGAGCCGCAGCAGCCGTTGGCCTGGCCCATCCTGCCTGGGACAGGAGGACCCTTGCTATGCACCAAGGACGCAGCCCAGCCGGGGACAGCAACGATGGGAAGCATCTTGCCAGAGCCCGGTCAGCGCTGCTAGGCCAGACCCTGCCTCCTCCCAGTGCCGCTCCGGGCCAGCACAGCTCCGTGCTGCCGGCGCTGGGGGCTGTCGGCTCCAACTGACCAATGGCCCCATCCCAACAGACAGCTCATGAACGGTGGGCGGGGCTCTGGGGATGGGCCCGCCCACCAGAAGGCCACACCCCTGCGACATGTCCCGCCCACTGGGCGGCAGGCAGCGCACCCGGCCCCAGCACTGCCTGCCCACTGCCAGCAGGAATCACCCAGCCGGGCATCACAGCCCCTATGGGGAGTACACTGCCCCCTGCCCTCCGCAGCCCTCTGCCGCCAGGGCCTTCCCAAACCTCGGACGCCACAGAACAGAATGGCTACAGGCAGCAGCACACGTGCAGGTGTGGCAGAGCCCCTCTGGTTCCAGCTGCAGGGATGTGCAGCCACCTCAGACTGGCAGAGCCCAGCAGTGTCACCCCTCCTGCACACAGCGTGGGGCAGCACAGAGGCAGCACCGGCCATGCCAGCCCCAGCAACACCCTCTGGCAGGCGCCGTGTCCTCGGTCTCTAGGCCAGACTCACCCTCTGCAGGGAGAGACGGGGGGTGTCCATCAGAGCCTTTGCCATCCCCATGAGGTAGATGAGCAGCGCCAGGGCGTGCTGCACCACGTTAACATCAACCTAGGGGAAAGGGGGACACCAAAAAGTGAAGTAGAGAAGCCAAGTGTCAATGTCCAAGTGGCAATGCCACCAAGCTGGCCAACATCTGTAATTATGGGGGAAGAAGCACTGTTGTTGTATCTTAACCTTAAAATTGGTGACGATTT